GGAAATATTTTTTGTCATAAACTTAGATATTTAATTTCTATCTTTAATATCTTATTATATAAAGTAGAATATAAAGCTGAAACGCATTCGGAAACTAAGATAAAGGACAAACACGAATTCCTCGAAAACTACGTCTAAGAAAAGAAAAAAGTGAAACAAACCTAAAATCGATACCAAAAGTAAAAACAAAGGGAATGTTTTTGTCATAAATTTAGCTATATGTAATTTTTTTTATTATCTAAAATATTTTATTATATAAAGTACAATACAAAGCTAAAACAGACCCAGAAGCTAAGGTGGCGATAAACACGAATTCCTTAGAAACTACGTCCAGAAAAAGAAACAAGTGAAACAAACCTAAAATTGAGACGGGAAATAAAAACAAAGGGAATATTTTCATAAATTTAGTTGTTTAATTTTTTTTTGTTATCTAGAATATTTCATTAAATAAAGTAGAATGCAAAGTTGAAACAGATCCAAAAACTAAGTTGGAGACTAACACGAATTCTCTGGAAACTATGTCCAAGAAAAGAAAACAAGTGAACACAAACCTAAAATCGAAACCGAAAATAAAAACAAAAGAGAACAAAGCTCAAACTTGAAACAATTAGCAACGTGCATAAACTCAAATATTTTAAGTACAAGTCTAACCAACAAAACTCCATAACTCCTCAGCGATCTAAGCTAATCGGATCGAACAAACCAAATCCATAACAAACGATCAGCAATTCTTTCTACAGTGAATCAATACTACCTCACAAACCAAAATACACATTTTTAATTAATATGTACAATATTTTAAACATAAGAAGTCATAATAACTAAAAGCATATTCAATTTATTTATAATCCTAAAATGGAGTTGAGTTTTTTACTTTCAAAATCTCTAAAAACAAAAATAGTACTCTTGATAGATCGCATCAAGATACTGTGTTATGGTCAAGTTCGATAAAAACGAAAACACTTTATGTTGTAACTTCGTAAGAAATAAATGGTGAAGTTAGTAAGTTTATTGCATCAATTGATACTGTGACCACACTATTTGTTTACACTTTTTACCAAACTAAACTTATAAAAAAAGTACGTAGCTCGACCTAATAATTTTGTTTAATTAGTTTTATCAAGTAACGTGTAGTAGATTACTACTATATTCCCTTTCAATATCACCCAAATAATCCAGTTCCGTTGACGCGTAAAACGAATAGCTTTTGAAACGGAATCTATAACCTCTTGATAAAGTTCATGAATACCAGTGAGCTTTTTACCATCAGTTTTACTTTAATTATAAAAATAGCTTCTAGAAGCTTTACAAAGATATATAAGATTATAAAAATGTAATACAGGAATGAGTCGTATTCACTGACGCAAACGTCAACCG